AAGTCTATCGCCCCCCCCCCCCCCCCCTCCACCATAAATATGAAGTTTGTATTGAGGTTACTGGGACAAAATCCAGTATCATGCTCAACGTTAAAACATACACAACTCAATGCTTTCACGATTTTAAAATAAGATAAACCTCATATCACCATGATACCACTATCTATTTATCTTGAGCACATTATAAATTACCACTATCCAGATGCTTTCACGCAATTAAGATATGGAAAAGTGCTTTCCGCACTTCTATTGACGATAGCCAAAGGCCTTGGCGCTAATGATAAATATCATAAAACCTGCCATTTGGAATAATAATAATGACCAAAGGGCTCTTAAAAAATTATTTTTGCTTAAAAGGTAGCCTTTGGAGAAGTGTTACACATAAAGAAAATTCATTTATTTAACAATTAAACTTTCGAAAAACATACCAATTTGATGCTGGTCTATTTTCTTTCGCGCTGTTTAAACTTGAGTTTGGTTTGATGCGAATGCCATAGTAATGGTATTTTGAATTTCCTCTGAAATATTATTAAATTTGTTTAAATAATAATGTAGTAAACTCATTGTTCTCAGGTATTTAACGTGTTTGCTAAATAACAGACTTGATTGTTATTCAACTCCAGTTTTCGAAAAAGTCTTACGATTATTAACTTGGTGATGACAAAAACTTACTGTTAAAAACATGCAATTTCAATCAATTTTAATGGCATTGATAAAGTGAAGCGACCGCATACCGAGTTCCAAGCCTACGAGTTCGAAGACCAACAAAGACGGATCGGATGAGTTTGCCAAACGAAGCTGGATTCATCGGTTCTAGCCAATAATCCAAGCAGTGATTGAGGTAATGCGAGTAGAGAAGACTCCTCGGTAGACTAACACCTTCAGCTGTTTCGTAGTTCTGAAGGAGCCAATGCACCTGAAACCACATAAATCAATAATCAAAGATTATAAAATTGACCTATTTTTAAACGATAGGGAGTAAATGCAATTTCGGTGATTATTCTTCCCATTATTAGGGAAAGTAATGCTTGTCCATTAAATTGTACATATAAACTAATTTTAAGTACGTCATACGGTGCATTAAAAGATTCGAACTTTAATAAATAATCGCTCTAACAGGGAGAACTTATGGTTTAATTAATTCCGGATGGAATATCGGCTTCTAGGTCTTAAAATAAGAAGATTGCAGCATTTTATCAAACGCCCATATTAATCTATTAGCAAAAATGCCCAATTGTTGGCTGATAGGTAGCTCATTATGATATTCCAAACCCCTAACTCAGCTCAATGTACCGTAATTTATTCTCATATTCATACCTTCGTTTCAAACTATTCAGTGATGATGTTCATTCCCTAAGATTCCCATACCTACCTCAACCTCCAATATCGTTACCTCTTCCACTCTCGCTCTTAAATAGCTTTCCAGCATATCCGTGATCTAATTCAACTCCTGGTCCATTGATTTAGAAAAGGAGTTGCATGGCCAAAGTACTGAAATATTTCGACTGTAAGGTTTAATAACACATTGATGCTTATCTGGGCACTCACTGTCACAGGGCTAGCTCTGGTAGAATGGTGTCGCAAGAACCGTAGATAGTACTGACCATAGTTATTGTTATTACTGTTGTTCTGATGGGCCATTCTAGCGATCATTGAAGTATTCGCAGACAATCCTGAATTAATCAGAACAGAATTCGATCCGTGGACTGACAATGGCGTGGATAAATCGGCAGTTGAAATTACTCTTGAATTCTGTTGGGACTGTTGATTCATCAGCTGTATTATACAACAAAGAGACAAGTTGTCAGATATGCAGAGCAAGATTAATATGTAATTTTTATGCAATGATTGAGCAATCGTCTCTATTTGTATTGTTCCTAAGCATCAAATGAAAAATTTGCGAACTTAAACATTGAATATTTATTTATATCAAATGGCAGGCGTCTTGATGGTTATCATTAGCAATTTCGTTGACTTCAGACTTCACAGAGGGGAAGGAACATCAAATTGAAAAAAGTCGAGAGGGGGGAACAGAAGAGTGTTTCAAAGATGTAAGAGGCAAATATAAAGGTAGGAAAAAGGTGAGGTGAGTACTGTGGAAATAGTCGAATATGGCATAGAGTGAGGTGATGGTAGTTTGAAGTGAGAAGTCAACTGCCAGTTAATAGACTTTTTTGCCGTATGAGAATACGTTGCCCAGGGTGCACCACGTGGAGGTAAGTCTATCGCACGCCCCCAGTCTGAAAATCAAATTGTAAGAATAGTCACTTGCGATTAATTGTGATGTTGTCATATGACAAAATTTAAATCATATTATATATGTATTTGCCCAATGTTCCGAATTTGCATCTTTATGCACTTTTCACTCCAAAAGCGCCTTCTTTCACCACGTCAGAGTCTATTGCAGAATCCTCCCATCCTCCTATTGATTTAATTTTTTTTCAGAAACAAATTACTGAGTGCCTAATTGTCGTTTGAAGTGAATTACTTGGGAAATGAGTTGTTGAAAGTACGCGTTCAAAAAAGGCTATGTATAAAGAATAGACGAGATTTACATTCAAACTTTCTGAACAGTTAAACGGTATTTAATAGTCAAATGTATGTAAACGCTCTATTCGAGGTGGTGCTGTAGTCATTATCATTAGATAGGTAAGCCAGACATTGCCCTGGCAACACGTGAAGTACATGATTTACGCAGAACCAAATTTAATATATATAAAATAATTTTCGACTGCATACCATCGCCATTTAAAGTTAAACAATTCGAAAATTTAATGGATGCTCACTAAATTCATTTTAGTCTAGTCAATAAATTCTGCAATAGGGAATTTGGCGATTTTTATTTTCACATTAATTGAAACATTAAAAAAATTAGGTTTAAATGCCCATTTTTCCATAAATGTTAAAACAAGGTAATGTAAAATATTATGGTCAATTTGAATTCTTTTTTTGTCATGAGGTTAAATGCATCGTTTTTTTCTCGCACTAAGTATCTTTTGATTTCTCGAATACAGGTATGGAAAAATCAAGATCCAATTAGTGAATGCAGTAAGGAATGTAATAGTAATTGCGTAAGTGAAATCCATTTCATCATAAAACATCTTTCCGTTGCCGATTAAAATTTATGTGTGTTGGGTGATGACGACTTGCAACAGTAATCATAATTGTAATTTTTCTTGGATCTTAAGGTAAACTTACTTGAGTCACAACATATTTTTAATATTTTTATTTATTTATAATAAATGGCAGGCGTTTTGATAGTTATCATTAGCCATTTAGTTGACTTCGGGCTTCACAGAGTGGAGGAAGAACATCAAAGTGAGAAGAATTTGAGAGGGTAAATAAAAGAATGATTCACAGATGCCAAAGAAACAGACAGACACAAAGGCTCAGAAAGGGTAAGATGAGTACTGTGGTAGGGGTCGAATATGACATACAGTGTGGGTGATGGTAGTTTGAAGTGAGAAGTCAACTGCCGGTTAATAGACTTTTTCGCCGTATGAGTATACGTTGCCCAGGGTGCACCACGAGGAGGTAAGTCTATCCCAGACCCCAAGTGAGAAAAAGTAGAGAGGGGGAACAGAAGAGTTATCCACAGATGTGAAAGTAACAGACGGACATAAAGGCAGAGTAAAGGTAAGATGAGTGCTGTGAAAGGGCTCGAATATCACATACAGTGGGAAGTCATGGTAGTTTGAAATGAGAAGTCAACTGCCGGTTTGCAGACTTTTTTGCCGTATGAGTATACGCTGT